TGAAACCATGTATATAAAGAGCATTGGTGTGTATTTTCAAGAACTATATTTTCAAGTATTTGAAACCATAAGAGTTCTTTTCCTTTTAATAAATATAAAAGTCTAGGAGAAAGATGTTGCTATTTTAATAGCGTAGTATTATCAGCTGTGCATAATTGTTCAAGATAAAGTAGCTTAAGTTTTCTAAGTTGACACTTAAAAGTTGTGTATTTGGGGTTTATTATAAGTATTTTCTCTAGTGGCTATAAGTTGTGTTGAATTGTATAAGACCATAAGATATTAGAATTTGCTGTCACAGATAATTTGAGATGTATAAAGAGCTGGATAATTTTAAAGTTAAGTGTAAATCTGTTTGGACATTTATTATAGGTTGTGGATATTGAAGTATATTAATGGTTAACCATAAGTTATTTTGTAGCTGCTGTAATCTAATATGAGTAGTTGTTTCTAAAAGATAAGAATTGTTAATACGTTAAAGAAAATTAGTTATATGGTGCTGTAATTGGATATCCCAGATATTTCGAATGTTGTATAAATATGGGTTAAGCATAGTGCTATTAGAAATTGATTTTGCAAGATGAGATTTGTGTTTAGCTATAGTAAGGTATTTAGATAAGATATTATTACATATAGTTCGTAAAAGAACTATATTATAGATTCTGTATTCTAATGTAGAAATGATGACAGTATTGATGACGTATGCAATTTGTTTGTCTGTAATTCTTTTTGTACTAGCAATAAAGGTTAGTTGAAAGGTTTCATCTTGAATAAGTCTAATTTGTTCAGATTGTTTGTTGTTAAAAGTAAACCAGTACCCAAAAATTTGAAAGGTTGGCTAGCTGAGATAGGTTGAATTGTTGAGTTGATAAAAGAAATAGAAGAGAGAGATTTGGTATTGGTGGTCAATATCGATTTTGTTAGATTAATTTGTATATCTGCTATTTGGTAAAAAGATGAGGCCATTAGAGTAATTTGGGTTATTTGTTTTTTAGATTGAGTATCCATAATATGTTATCCATATATACAAGAACTGAAATAGAGATTTGAAGATACTAGCTAGTTCATGGTTGTAAGCTAGTTAACCATGAGGTGGATAATATGTATCCAGTAAAGTGTAAAGAAATTTTATGAATAAGAGAATCGTAATAAATTCTCCAAAAAAGAGGAGTGATAGTTTCTTCTTAATCTATACCATTTTTAACAGTATATGAGTTGGTGAGTTCAAGATTAGTAATAACTTTATTGTGGTGATTTAATAGAAGATTGGTAAATATAGTAATAAGTTTAGATAGCATATTGATATGTTAAAGGGATAGCTTAAATAGATCGATGTTAACTGAGTCATAGGCTTTGCTCGTATCCTGAGATAGAAGCCAAAGCTCTTTTAAATTACAAGAAGCTTCTTTGATTATATTGTTAAGTATATGAATAGGAATTGCAGTGCAGTTGCCTAGGAAAGCAATATAGTTATAAAGAGAAAGAATTAAGTATTTAGTAAATATATAGTTTAAACGATTAGTTAGAAGTTTAGTATATAGTTTTTTGATATGTTCTAAAAAGCTAATAGGTCTGGTATTAGATAGGTCACCATCAAAAATCAGTTTTTGAAAATTGGAAATATTCTTCACTCTTTCCATTGTTTAGAAATTGAGTCAGAGATTATACATCTATTAAATAAAGAGTAATTGTCTGGAAAAAGGAGAGGCCAGCATGTTTAAACATTTCGTAGCTAATTCCAGAGGGGCCACATGCATTGTTGTTAGAAAGTTGTAACAAAGTAGTAGAAACTTCTTCTAAAGAGAATTCATTAAAGCACTATTATACTATTCAGTTTGAATATTGTTTTTGGGTCTATATTCATTTTGCCATATAGAGCTGAATATTTGTTGATTAATATTTCAATAATCTGTCTATTTGTAAAATGTTGTTGAATATATGATTTAATTTCTTATATATCTGTAATGATATCATCTTCTGTTTTAATATTATCAAATCTAACAGAGTCTTTGTGATAGTTTAAAATACTGTTAATTATAGATTTGGAGTTAGATAGGAGTTTGTTATATTTTTTAGAAATATTGTTATTAATTTGTTGTCAAATTTCTTTAATATTTTCAATATTGTGAGCATGGTATAGAGCTTTCCATTCATCATTACAGTCATTGAGCCAGACTGCAAGAAAGGTATATTCATTAGGTAAGCATGGAATATTTAGTTGATAGGTACTATTAATCTGGTTAATAGTAGAGTTGTGCTGAGTAGATATGGATAGTTTGTTTTTGAGTGATACTTTGATTTGCCAGGTAATATTACTGAGCTTTTTAAGATGTTGGTGTAATAGTGATGATGCTTTAGCCGAATAAACATGTTGAAAATTTCGTATTGCAAATTTTTGTTAGGGATATATTGAAGGGTGGTATTAATAATGCTCAGAGTTTCTAATGTATCTATAGATAGTAGAGTTTTGTTGGCTCTAAGATTAAAAGAAATTTGATCTAAATATGTTTGCCATTGTTCATCGTTCATATTCTTGTAAAGAAATATCCTTTTATATGTTTTTGTTGTAGCTCTGTATTTGTCTATAAAAACATAAAGAAATGTCCATAAGGAGATTAATATTTTGTGATCACTTCTAGTACTAGTGTTAGGGCTATCTGTATCAAAAGAAGTTAGATAACAGAGAATCGAGTGATTAGCCCAAATATAATCGATGGTACTATGAGATTTGCTGCTTTGCTATGTACTAGTTGAAGATTAAGTGGGGTCTTTGCAATAGAAAGGGCGGAAACTCGAATATATATAATTTTAAGAAAATTGATTTTGAAAATTTGATCACGTGTAAACAAATCAAGACAAAAATAGAATATCCTTACCGTGATACTAAAAATATATTTGCCGATAATTATAGCATTAGTTTTTTAAAACGTACTTTGATTTTTATCTTAGTTAAATTTTTTTTATATTTATTTTTGATGAAATTACAAAACTATTGATATTAATTTTTTTTTTCTTTTTTAGATCGAAGTATAGACCTAGGATTGGTACAAAAGCTAAGTACTAATAATTTTTTTTTTTTCTTGTTCTTTTTATTTTTTCGTTCTTTTAGCTAGCTAATCTTCTCTTTCTTGTAGGTAGATAGATCTTGAAATAGCACCAGAAATGGAGTCTAGATCTGGAACTGGTACGAAAGCTAAGTACTAGTATTTTTTTTTTTCTTAGTTACTTCTTTCTATTTTTTGTTCTTCTAGCTAGCTAACCTTCTCTTTCTTGTAGGTATGTAGATCTTGAAAATGACGCCAAAAATAGAGTCTAAACCTGGGAATAGTACGAAAGCCAAGTACCAGTAATTTTTTTTTTTCTTTGTTACTTCTTTCTATTTTTTGTTTTTCTAGCTAGTTAACCTTCTCTTTCTTGTAGATATGTGGATCTTGCCAGAAATGGAGTCTAGATCTGGAACTGGTACGAAAGCTAAGTACCAGCATTTTTTTTTTTTTTTGTTACTTCTTTCTATTTTTCGTTCTTCTAGCTAGCTAACCTTTTCTTTCTTGTAGGTATGTAGATTTTGAAAATGATGCCAGAAATGGAGTCTAGACCTGGGAATGGTACGAAAGCTAAGTACTAGTAATTTTTTTTCTTTGTCACTTCTTTCTATTTTTCGTTCTTCTAGCAGTTAACTTTTTCTTTCTTGTAGATTTGAAAATAGCGCCGGAAATGGAGTCTAAATCCGGGAATAGTACGAAAGCTAAGTACTAGTAATTTTTTTTTCTTTGTTACTTCTTTCTATTTTTTATTCTTCTAGCTAGCTAACCTTTTCTTTCTTGTAGGTATGTGGATCTTGAAAATGATGCCAGAAATAGAGTCTAAACCTGGAAATGGTACGAAAGCTAAGTACTAGTAATTTTTTTTTCTTTTTTTGTTACTTCTTTCTATTTTTCGTTCTTCTAGCTAGTTAATCTTCTCTTTCTTGTAGATATATGGATCTTGCCAGAAATGGAGTCTAGATCTGGAACTGGTACGAAAGCTAAGTACCAGTAATTTTTTTTTGTTACTTCTTTCTATTTTTCGTTCTTGTAGCTAGCTAACCTTTTCTTTCTTGTAGGTATGTAGATTTTGAAAATGATACCGGAAAATAGAGTCTAGATCCAGAAATGGTACGAAAGCTAAGTACCAGTAATTTTTTTTTCTTTGTTACTTCTTTCTATTTTTTATTCTTTTAGCTAGCTAACCTTCTTTTTCTTGTAGGTATGTGGATCTTGAAAATGATGCCGGAAATAGAGTCTAGACCCAGAAATGGTCTCTGTAAAGTGTACAAAGTGTACTATATAATTGTCCTTATGGTATACTGTATAGTTGTTCTTATGCACATAATTGATTAGTGTAGAATCTTATTGAAGATAGCAAATTTATTTTTCTTGTTTTTTTTTTAACATTAGTAATAAAGTCTGATCGAGCAGTAATCAAAAAACCAAATTTAGTGAAAATTAAATCCTTATTAAAAACTCGTTGACGTAACCAACTTTATTGTTATAACCCTTTATATTTTCGTAATGACGTAACTTTTTGTATTGCCGTAACATTTTATATTGACGTAACTACTGAACTAAGGTTACGGCAAATATCAGTTATTACGACCTATGTCGTTATAGCATTTTTGACGTGATGATACGTCAATTGGATGTAATCATATATCTTCAAATGTCTGCATCTATAGTTATGAGTATTGTATGATTTTATTTGCAGCAAGTTATTGTTATGATTAGTAATGCAGTAAAATCATTTCAATGATTGTCATAACCTGTTGTAATTTGTCATAACTATAGTAATGAAGATTCAATTCTAAATATTAAAAACAAATTAGAAAAAAAGATGAAAAAGCTCAATATAAAAAGTTACAAACAACAATATGTTGTAAAGAAAAATGTTTTCAAAATTTAGTTTCTCATAAACATGCTATTTTAAATTATCAAAATTTTCAAAATTTAAATAATAATCAAAAGGATATGTTTTTACTTGGAATCTTATCTGCAACTGCTCGACAAGAAATTACTACTATAGGACAAAAACGTAATAAACTTGCAAGTAAATATATATTTGAAGGAATAGAAATATGCAATAATACATTTTTGACAATTTATGGAATTGGAGAAAAATATTGGAGAAATATTAGAAATCATTTTATTAAACATGAAATTAGTCCAAGAATCTATAAATTAACTAATAAAAATAGTAATTTTGCTATATCATTTGAAATAATTTTAAATATACTTACTTTTATAATTAATTATGCAAATATTTATGGCTTACCTTCACTAGGTATTTGTAATTATTCTTAAATTTTTATTTTAATAAACTAATTTAATTTTTTAATTAATATAGAATGACATTTTTATAAAGATACTTTACTAATAATTTTTCTTCCTTCAAATGAAAGTTATTCTTTATTATATCGATTATATATATTGGCAATAGAAGAACAAAATCAAAATATAATTCATTTAAGTACTTTTTGGCGTATTTGGAATAAATATATTCCAGAAATTAAGTTTCTTTTACCTTGAAGTGATTTATGTTATAAATATAAAAATATGAGATTTAATTCAAAATATTGGACTGAACAAGAAACTGAAAAATATATTGAAGAATGGAATAATCATATTTTATGAGCACAAAAAGAAAGAGAATATTATAGGTATTTATTTTTATTAAAAATTTTTAAATATATATTTTAAATTCTAATTTAGTTATTAAATTTTAGAAATTGTATTCAATCAACAAAATCTATTTTACAACAATTTTCTAATTTTCCTAATTTTTTTTGAC